ATTTATTCACATTAAAACATCACTGGTGCAAGAACTGAACCCTGTGGTACTCCACTTGTGACATTTCTCCAGTCCGATACATTGCCTCTGATTACTGTCCTCATTTTTCTATCAGAAAAATTTTCATCCATGTTAGAAGCTTACTTGTCACCCTTCCAATGTGTTCCAGTTTCCAGAATAACCTCTTATGTGGAACTCTGTCGAAAGCCTTATATAGGTCCAGATAGATGCAGTCGACCCAACCATCTCTTAATTGTAAAATCTCTGTGGATCGACCTTAGTAACTGAGTAAATTCGATACACAGGATCTTCCAGATCGAAAACCATACTGTCTGTCTCATATTATATCATTTCTCTCCAGGTTTTCTACCCATTTAGTTTTTATTATTTTTCCAATATGTAGACTATTACACATGTCAATAATGCCGGTCTATAATTGAGAGGGTTTTCCCTTCTGCTTCTTTTGTAGACTGGAACTATGTTAGCCTTTTTCCACACATCAGCTACAGCTCCTGTACACAGAGATGTCTGAAAAATCAGCTGAAGTGGAATGCTGAGCTCAGGTGCACATTCTCTCAGAACCCATGGTGAAACTCCATCTGGACCAACTGCTTTGTTCTTACTTAGCTCCTTGAGCATTTTTTCCACTTCGTCTCTAGACACCTCTATGTGCTCTATGTTGTTCTCTGGAATTCTTATTGTGTCTGGTTCCCTGAAGATTTCATGTTGTACAAACACACTTTGAAACGTTTCTTTTAATGTTTCACACATTTCCTTTTCATTTTCCGTGCATCTATCTCCCATTTTCAACCTCTGAATATTATCCGTTACTTGCAGCTTGCTTTTAATGAATTTATAGGAAAGGCCTGGATCTTATTTACATTTGTCTGCTGTGTACTCACCTAATTGTGATTGCGGGAGTTGAGCTCTGGCTCTTTGGTCCCGCCTCTCAACTGTCAATCAACTGGTGTACAGATTCCTGAGCCTACTGGGCTCTATCATATCTACATTTGAAACTGTGTATGGAGTCAGCCTCCACCATATCACTGTGTGTGTGTGTGTGTGTGTGTGTGTGTGTGTGTGTGTGTGTGTGTGTGTGTGTGTGTGTGTGTGTGTGTGTGTGTGTGTGCACTTATCTAGATGCACTTGCAGGGTTGAGGTAGGCTCCTGGTCCCGCCTTCTGAACTTTCTTCGATTAATACAATGATCCATTTCTCCTGTTTTTATCGTATTTACATTTAAAACTTTGAATCGGATTAGCTTCAACAACTTCTATGTCTATCCTGTTGCGCGTATTGACAACTCTAACACTGAACAAGTTCTTCCTGTTGTCTGTGTGATCCACTTGCCTCTCCAGTGTCCATCTATGACCCCCTCCTCCTGCTGCTCCAGCTCTGAACCACGCTGCTTTGTCTACCTTCTCAATTTCCCTTAGAATCTTATATGTTATCGTGGCTACCTTATCTCTCCTTTCCTCCGGTGGGGTAAGGTTCAGTTCTCTCAGTCTTTCATCATCGCTCAATCTCTTCAGCTACGGAACGAGTCACGTTTGCTGGGGGATGCATATTCAAATGTACGTTTAATTTTTACTTTATAAAGGGCCCGGAAAGCCCCCTTTCCGGGCCTTTCCGGACAAGTTTGTGAAGGATACACGGACGTGTATCCTATAGAGGGCCCCGGGTGGTGGTGTACCTGGACCAGAGGGCCCCGGGGTGGTGGTGTACCTGGACCAGAGGGCCCCGGGTGGTGGTGTACCTGGACCAGAGGGCCCCGGGGTGGTGGTGTACCTGGACCAGAGGGCCCCGGGTGGTGGTGTACCTGGACCAGAGGGCCCCGGGTTGTGGTGTACCTGGACCAGAGGGCCCCGGGGTGGTGGTGTACCTGGACCAGAGGGCCCCGGGTGGTGGTGTACCGGGACCAGAGGGCCCCGGGGTGGTGGTGTACCTGGACCAGAGGGCCCCGGGGTGGTGGTGTACCTGGACCAGAGGGCCCCGGGGTGGTGGTGTACCTGGACCAGAGGGCCCCGGGGTGGTGGTGTACCTGGACCAGAGGGCCCCGGGGTGGTGGTGTACCTGGACCAGAGGGCCCCGGGGTGGTGGTGTACCTGGACCAGAGGGCCCCGGGTGGTGGTGTACCTGGACCAGAGGGCCCCGGGTGGTGGTGTACCTGGACCAGAGGGCCCCGGGTGGTGGTGTACCTGGACCAGAGGGCCCCGGGGTGGTGGTGTACCTGGACCAGAGGGCCCCGGGGTGGTGGTGTACCTGGACCAGAGGGCCCCGGGTGGTGGTGTACCTGGACCAGAGGGCCCGGGGTGGTGGTGTACCTGGACCAGAGGGCCCCGGGGTGGTGGTGTACCTGGACCAGAGGGCCCCGGGTGGTGGTGTACCTGGACCAGAGGGCCCCGGGGTGGTGGTGTACCTGGACCAGAGGGCCCCGGGGTGGTGGTGTACCTGGACCAGAGGGCCCCGGGTGGTGGTGTACCTGGACCAGAGGGCCCCGGGTGGTGGTGTACCTGGACCAGAGGGCCCCGGGTGGTGGTGTACCTGGACCAGAGGGCCCCGGGGTGGTGGTGTACCTGGACCAGAGGGCCCCGGGTGGTGGTGGCAGGTGTGGCCCACCGTGGCCACCACCTCTGTATAACCAACAACAACAAGAACAACAACACAAGCGCCGTGACACATTAGACAAAGTGGTGGCCAGGTCGGCCGGTGGCGGTAATTAGTGACTGAATTAATAAAGAGCGCAGCAAAAGTGGGTGTGTGAGGCCGGCGGGCCGGACTCTCTGTATATTGTGTTGATTATCCGGCAGGTGGCGCCGTTCACGCCCCACTGACCCTAAATGAGACTGTCAGGTCGCGTCGCACGCCGGCGGGAGCATGGCTGACACCCCACGCCCCTCCCTCCACGCCCCTCCTCCTCTTCTGCCTCCTCCTCTACCTCCTTCATCCTCTTCTTCTGCCCCCCCCTCCCTCCCCTCCCCCCCCCCACGACCAGCGCCTCCTCCACCCTCAATTTCACACTACTCTTGCTCTTTTCTTCTTCTTGTTCCTATCACTTTCAACTACTCCAGCACCGCCTCCTTCCCTCTCATTCCTCCAGCCCTGCCTCCATGTCCTCCTCCTCCAACTTCTTCCTGTTTATCATCTCTCCTTCAACACTGTTCCTCTTCCTCCCTCGCCTCTCCCACTAACACACGCCACATTTGTTCACCAGTGTTCTCTTAGGCCAGCTGTAGGCCGTGTTCAGCACCGCGCCCTGTGGTGTTCAACCCCTGGTCTCTACACCACCACCACCTTCACTAGTGACTAATACAACTGTTGCTGTGTCCTCCAGTATACTGATGACTCAAGTGAACATGCTGTGAGTCTCAGCCTCCACACCTGCCTCCACACCTACACCTTCAGAAAGTGTTCCCAACTGTGCAATAACAACGCTATCTCCTTATATATTATATATTATAATTTGAGGCAAATTAGATACTTATAAAATAGGTTCGGTTAGGTTAGGGTGAGGGCTAGGCTAGGTTAGGCCTAGGGTAGGCTTAGGCTTAAGCCGTCTTCCGGTTCAAGCTGTTAGTTTATACTGACTTATATGTTGTTTTTAATGTCAGAATATAATGTCTACACTGTGAGCCTGACAGTGTTTGGATAATGTTTTGACTTAAAGAACAACTAAGAGTATAATGTAATATTCTTAATATAATTTACGCAACGTTTCGAGCCTAAATGGTTCAGTCTCAAGTGCTGAATGACAAGACGTGAGGTAACATCTGGTACACAGGAAGGTCGGGGACACTGGCCATTATGTCATGTGAAGGACCACACAGTAGAGGAGAGTGTGGTGACGGAGCCCGTCCTCCTCCTCTCTTGTAGCACTCATAGTGACCATCACCACCGTACTATGTGCTATATACTACTATATATATCTATTCCCCTAAACGCTATGCGTATTAGTGGCTTTAGGTACTGTATGTACTGCCTCTATCTATAAATCCAATATTATGTTTATAAATCAACTATGTACTTTTCCTGAATAAAAATTTATTATTTATTTATTTATTTATTATATGTACTGACGAACAACCAAATTAGAAAGTAGAAATCGACACTATTGAGTTGGACAATCTGGAAAACATTTTTTTACTTGTGTAAAACTAAACTAAACTCATCTAATCTAACCTTCCTAAGCCTCATACACAATATCTGAGGCCTAATATAGTACATATGTGCACTATACTAGGCCTAGGAATATTTAAGTTTCTTTTATAGCTTCATTTATTTTAAAAGAATTCCTTACAATAGTCAGTATACTACTATCTTAAAGGTTAGTACGTACTTTAATGTTCATACAAAGACATTCGACAAATGTGACCATGGAGTGATAGCACACAAAATGAGGTCAATGGGAATAACTGGTAAAGTAGGACGCTGGAGACTCAGTTTTCTCTCGAACAGAACACAAAAAGTAACAGTCAATCAAATAAAATCAAGTCCAAGCTCAGTGAAAAGTTCTGTACCTCAAGGTACAGTCCTTGCACCACTGCTGTTCCTTATTCTCATATCAGATATAGATAAAAATACACATCACAGCTTCGTATCATCCTCTGCAGATGACACAAAATCAGTATGAAAATTACCTCTGCTGAAGTCGTGGAAAAATTACAAGCAGATATCAACAAAGTTTTCGACTGGACAGCAGAAAATAACATGATGTTTAACAGTGATAAATTCCAAGTACTCAGGTACGGCAAAAATGAAAACCGTTAAACATAATACAGGGTACAAAACACAATCGAATCTGCCCATAATAGGTAAACAGCATGTCAAGGATTTGGGAATAATGATGTCCGACGACCTAACGTTTAGGGAGCATAATCAAGCAAATATTGCGTCAGATAGAAAAATGATAGGATGAATTACGAGAACTTTCAAATCCATCACAATGGTTGTACTCTTCAAGTCACTTGTGTTGTCCCGTCTCGAGTACTGCTCAGTACTCACTTCCACCCTTCAGAGCGGGCGAGATTGCTGAAATAGAGGGAATACAGAGAACATATACTGCACGCATAGACGCGATAAAGCACCTAAATTATTGGGATCGTCTCAAAGCTCTCCAAATGTACTCTCTAGAAAGGAGACGAGAGAGATACCAAATAATATACACATGGAAAATACTGGAGGGTCAGGTCCTTAATCTACACAGTAAAATAACAACGTACTGGAGTGAACGATATGGAAGAAAATGCAGAATAGAACCAGTGAAGAGCAGAGGTGCCATAGGCACAATCAGAGAACACTGTATAAACATCAGAGGTCCGCGGTTGTTCAACGTCCTCCCAGCAAGCATAAGAAATATTGCCGGAACAACCGTGGACATATTCAAGAGAAAACTAGATAGTTTCCTCCAAGGAGTGCCGGACCAACCGGGCTGTGGTGGGTATGTGGGCCTGCGGGCCGCTCCAAGCAACAGCCTGGTGGACCAAACTCTCACAAGTCAAGCCTGGCCTCGGGCCGGGCTTGGGGAGTAGAAGAACTCCCAGAACCCCATCAACCAGGTAGGAATTCGTGACTATTGCCGATCATCACAATAGGTACGGTATAAACAGACGGATGACTTGGGTCACGGGCCAATATATTAAGCACACAAACTCGTGTCAGGGGCTATTCATGCCCGTGTCACCTTTTGGCTGGCTTAATCTTTATCAATGTCATGTGACCGAGGTAACGAGGACTTAAGATGATGGTAGTGGGTAGTGACGTCATCGTTGGCTTGTTTGGGTGCTGGTCTTGCTCTCAGACTCATGGGGGGGGGGGGTTGTTTTGCTGTTATGTGAAGGGTTTCAAGAAGTTGTAATCTCTTTGTATCCTAGACTTTGTCTAATATGCCAGCTGGTCACTATGACAGGTGGTCACTGTGACAGGTGGTGATAGTGACCACCTGTCAGTGACAGGTGGTGACAGTGACAGCGTCAACAGGCACAACACCAACTTGGTGACAGGTGTCCGGGTGTGTCGCTGGGGAGGAGGGGAAGAGCGTAGTCAGGTAAATGAGGGAGTGGGGAGAGAGGGGGGGGGGGAGGTAAGGTAAGCTGGGAGAGAGGGAGGAGAGGGATGGTGGAAAAGGAGGAGGGAGGGATTGAGTGAGTGAGGGGGTGATGAGAAGAAGAGGGAGTGAGTTAGTGAGAGATAGTGAGGGATGAAGTAGAAGATTTTGAGGGAAGGAGGGGAGGAACTAACTATATATATATATATATATATATATATATATATATATATATATATATATATATATATATATATATATATAATATATATGTCGTACCTAGTAGCCAGAACGCACTTCCCTACCTAACCTAACCTAACCTATCTTTACAGGTTAGGTTAGGTTAGTTAGCCGAAAAAGTTAGGTTAGGTTAGGTAGGTTAGGTAGTCGAAAAACAATTAATTCATGAAAACTTGGCTTATTATGCAAATTGGGCCTTGCATAGTAGGCTGAGAAGTGCGTTCTGGCTACTAGTACGACATATATATATATTATATATATATATATATATATATATATATATATATATATACTTGTGTGTGTGTGACCTACGCTTGAAACACTGCAGCAATATCCAGCCTATCATTATCTGGTAATGTGTGGCATGACTCACGAGCTGCGAGAGTCCTTCACTCGCTGTTGGACATAATTAAGTACAGGTAAATATTATATTTGAATTAGGTTGAACTATTTAATTGATGTGTTAAGGTGTCTTCATAAGATTACTTCAGATAACTTTATAAATGGGTTATTTTAGAGAGGATAAAGATGGCGTCCAGCAGTGCCAAACGTTACTTCCGTCACGTGACCCAAGGTTCCTTCCCCCTCCGTCATCCCCCCCCCTCACCCACACCCCCTCACCCTTCCCCTCCTCCACCAAAACACCCTCCCCATCACTCCCCTCTCTTGTTCCTCCCCCCTTCTTCAAACAATATCAACCCCCCACCACACAACCCCCCCACCCTCCCCCACAACACATCCCCCCCCCCACCACACAACCCACCCCCAACCCCTCCCCCATTAACCCCTCCCCAACACATCGGATCTGATTGGCCGCTGACCACAGTTATAGGAACGTCATAACACATTAAAAACTAATCCGCCGGCCCGCCGCCGCCCTCAAGAATTATGGGATAAATTTCGTTTCAATTAATAAATTTGTGAACTTGACGGACGATGGTGGCCGGCCAGCTTGACAACACTGTCATTGACGGCGGGGGGGGGGGGGGCGGGGACAGGTAAATGGAGAGGGAGGGAGGGAGGGAGGGAGGGAGAGTGGGAGAGAGAGAGGGAGAGAGAGAGGGAGAGAGAGAGGGAGAGAGAGAGGGAGAGAGAGAGGGAGAGAGAGAGAGAGAGAGGGAGAGAGAGAGAGAGAGGGAGAGGGAGAGAGAGAGGGAGAGAGACAGGGAGAGAGAGAGAGAGAGAGAGAGAGAGAGAGAGAGAGAGAGAGGAGAGGGAGAGGGTGCACAATAAACCAGGAGTAATGCCAGAGTAGAGGTGGCAACACAGCGGACGACCGAGCGCCTCCTTCCCATTCCTCTCCCTCCCATCATTGCCACTCTTCCATTCCCTCCTCCTCCTCCTCGGCGCCGCCTCTCTCTCTCTCCCAGGTCACACCTCACCAGTGTAAACCCCCCCCCCCGCGGGAAGACGCTATATTAAAGTGCCCACATGACCATTTGCATCCTATTTCCACCCCCTCTGTTCCGCCAGCTTGGTGCACCAACCTTTACACTACGGCTGACGCACGCGCGCGCGCGCGCGTGTGTGTGTGTGTGTGTGTGTGTGTGTGTGTGTGTGTGTGTGTGTGTGTGTGTGTTGTGTGTGTCGAACAACAGCTCCTTAGCCCCGGTTTTCCATCTCCAGTTAATGCAGTAACTTTCACTCCACATTTCTCGTCGTATTTCCCTTTGACGCTGCTGATTGCATTTGTCTCGACGATCTTAGACCAACTGAAGAGTTGGTCTGACGTAGGTTGTATACAGTGCTACGTAGGCCTGAAGGCTGCATTTGCAGGTGCGGCGTATGTTACAACTGTTCTTGTGTTAATATGTTCCACAGGCTACGTGCCGTAGACACTCCCGTCTCTGCTACACTCTTGTGTCCAGACTCAGCAAACTTCAGCTCCAGAGCCCCGCCTCAGAGGCTCTATAGCTCTTCCTGGATCTCTTCCGTAGTAGTGGGGCTCCCAGCGCCCAAGGCACTGACCACACATTGACCAACCAGGAGACAGAAACATCGGGTTGTAACAGTTCTGATGGTCGTACAGTTTCCAGTGTGAACTAACTTTGTAATAAATCCAAGTTTGTATAGGTTCAGTTACATGGAGGGGGGGGGGGGGGGGTTCCAGGGGGCGCCACGTTAAGTGTTGCTCGGTGTATATAGCAATGAAAATCATTTTGAAGCAATGGAGTGACTTGAACTCGCGACCTATATATATATATATATATATATATATATATATATATATATATATATATATATATATATATATATATATATATATATAATATTAGTTTCTGTCTGTCTCGGTCTCCTCAACTGTCTGCCTCTCGCTCTGTCTTTATTATTCTTTGTCTCTCGGTGTTTCTCTTTCCACTTCACATCTATATTTTGTTCAGTCTCCCATTTTTTCCCTCATTTCACTCTCCCCTCTTTTTTGCCCCATTCCCCCTCTATTTTGCCCCTCACCCTATCTCTTTTCTTGCGCTTTGTCTCTTCCTTTCCTTTCTCTGAGCTTCTCCTCCACGTTCCCCCCTCTCCTCCCCTCCCCTCCCCCCCGCCGCCAGGGTGTTCCCCTCACACAAGTAATCACCTGAGAGAGTGTTGGGGTCATTGAGGGAGGAGGTGCTAGGTGATGTACTGCGCCCCCCCCTCCCTCTCTGCTACCACCCCTCCCTCTGCCCCTCCCACCACCACCCCCCACACCCCACCACCACTACCCCTCCCCCCCCACCAACAATACTGTCACTGCCACCACCATCCGTCCTCCACCACCACCATCCGTCCTCCACCACCACCACAGCTCTGCTATAGACTTTCTGATACATCTATCCTGCGCCTGTGATTTGATTGTGTTAAGTATGCATGAAGTCTAACTCGTCAGTTTTTATGTTTTTGTTTAGCAAACAATGAGAGGGTTGAGGCATAAAACCGGGCATAAACACTCGCCAATGTTTATGCCCGGAAGTCCACTTCAAATATTGCCATCTTTCTATTGTTTGAGCCTCGGTCTCGGATCCGGGGTCAGTGAATACTGCGGCAATATGGCTGCCCTAATAATAACAAACACATGACCCTCATACTGACATCTCTAATATTGAGGTGGATTAGAACTGAGACCCAACGCGTATAATACTCGTCACACAGTTTCTTAACACATGTCTTCACACACTGAAGTCCATATCCCTGCCCGGTATAATATAGGAACCTCGATTCCCCGACCACATGGACAGCGGGCAGCCGCTCTACCGAGCCACCAACACTACTTACAAGGAATTAAAGGCTTCCAGTGGCGCCAATCTGCTGTTCAACTGGAAGCTTAAGCCTCGTATGTAGTGCCAGTTTGGCAGGTTAGGTGAGGTGAGCCACCTCCTGCACCACTATATTCTGTATATTTACATTGTATTCACCAAAATGAAATGTTAAATATAATGTTATTATCCACGATATTGTGGTTAGCAGTTGATATATGAATGATGAAGCAGAGAGAGAGAGAGAGAGAGAGAGAGAGAGAGAGAGAGAGAGAGAGAGAGAGAGAGAGAGAGAGAGAGAGAGAGAGAGAGAGAGAGAGAGAGCGAGCAAGCAGGGCGTCTAAGAATACTACCATGTCCCTCAACCCTAACAAGAGAACCATTAAGGTCGCCCAAATATAAGAATATAAGAACAGTTTGACAATTCCCGCCCAGGACTGTGATCCCTGCCCCCCCCCCCCCCCCCGCGCCCTCCTAATACTCGCCCACAAATATCTTGTCACTTGAGCGGGAATACCTCTGACCCGGATAAGAATAGTGCCTGTATTTACGGTCACCTCCTTATAACGGCACCTGGCTCTACTAACCACACCGTTATAGCGGCACTCGGGTATATTAATCACCTCTAAAAAAAAAATTGTCCAGTAAACGCCTTATATTTCAACCTTGAAAACCTTGTAGCAAGCTTCGTCTATATAGTAATATTCATATATATTGATCATCGCGACAGAGACCATTTAGAGCCATTACCTGTATCATCAACAGTTACCTGTGTCATCCAACAGTTACCTGTAACATCAACAGTTACCTGTGTCATCAACAGTTACCTGTGTCATCAACAGTTACCTGTGTCATCCAACAGTTACCTGTGTCATCCAACAGTTACCTGTGTCATCAACAGTTACCTGTGTCATCAACAGTTACCTGTGTCATCAACAGTTACCTGTGTCATCAACAGTTACCTGTGTCATCAACAGTTACCTGTATCATCAACAGTTACCTGTGTCATCCAACAGTTACCTGTATCATCAACAGTTACCTGTATCATCAACAGTTACCTGTGTCATCCAACAGTTACCTGTATCATCAACAGTTACCTGTATCATCAACAGTTACCTGTATCATCAACAGTTACCTGTATCATCAACAGTTACCTGTGTCATCCAACAGTTACCTGTATCATCAACAGTTACCTGTATCATCAACAGTTACCTGTATCATCAACAGTTACCTGTGTCATCAACAGTTACCTGTGTCATCAACAGTTACCTGTGTCATCAACAGTTACCTGTATCATCAACAGTTACCTGTATCATCAACAGTTACCTGTGTCATCCAACAGTTACCTGTATCATCAACAGTTACCTGTATCATCAACAGTTACCTGTATCATCAACAGTTACCTGTGTCATCAACAGTTACCTGTGTCATCAACAGTTACCTGTGTCATCAACAGTTACCTGTGTCATCAACAGTTACCTGTGTCATCAACAGTTACCTGTGTCATCAATAGTTACCTGTGTCATCAACAGTTACCTGTGTCATCAACAGTTACCTGTGTCATCAACAGTTACCTGTGTCATCAACAGTTACCTGTGTCATCAACAGTTACCTGTGTCATCAACAGTTACCTGTGTCATCAACAGTTACCTGTATCATCAACAGTTACCTGTGTCATCCAACAGTTACCTGTGTCATCAACAGTTACCTGTATCATCAACAGTTACCTGTATCATCAACAGTTACCTGTATCATCAACAGTTACCTGTGTTATCAACAGTTACCTGTGTCATCAACAGTTACCTGTATCATCAACAGTTACCTGTGTCATCAACAGTTACCTGTGTTAACAACAGTTACCTGTGTCATCAACAGTTACCTGTGTCATCAACAGTTACCTGTGTCATCAACAGTTACCTGTGTTAACAACAGTTACCTGTGTTAACAACAGTTACCTGTGTTAACAACAGTTACCTGTGTTAACAACAGTTACCTGTGTTAACAACAGTTACCTGTATCATCAACAGTTACCTGTGTCATCAACAGTTACCTGTGTCATCAACAGTTACCTGTGTTAACAACAGTTACCTGTGTTAACAACAGTTACCTGTGTCATCAACAGTTACCTGTGTCATCAACAGTTACCTGTGTTAACAACAGTTACTTGTATCATCAACAGTTACTTGTGTCATCAACAGTTACCTGTGTCATCAACAGTTACCTGTGTCATCAACAGTTACCTGTGTCATCAACAGTTACCTGTGTCATCAACAGTTACCTGTGTCATCAACAGTTACCTGTCTCATCAACAGTTACCTGTATCATCAACAGTTACCTGTGTTAACAACAGTTACTTGTGTTAACAACAGTTACTTGTGTCATCAACAGTTACCTGTATCATCAACAGTTACCTGTGTCATCAACAGTTACCTGGTGGCCGCTTGACACTGGTTACTGTATTATATTAACTAATGCTTAACGTAACGAAATTCTACCTGTTAAAATTCTACCTGTTTATATATCTACGTCCGTTATATATCTACCTCCGTTATATCTACCTGTTTACGTATCTTGCTGTTGATATATATACCAGTTTATATAAGATCCTGTTGATTTATATACCTGTTTATATAAGATCCTGTTGATATATCTTCCTGTTTATATAAGATCCTGTTTATATATCTACCTGTTTATATAAGATCCTGTTGATATATCTTCCTGTTTATATAACTACCTGTTTGCATGTCTACCTCTGTTTTATCTACCTTGTTTACATGTCTACTTGTTTATATATCATTAAAAACAGTCAGCCGCTCGTCAGTCGCCATAAAGAGTAACAGAAAATATATGTGTGTGTATATATTAATATGCGTGTGTGTATATATTTTAGGGTTTTAGGCCATGGTTTTAGAGGAATGAGAGACAAGGTGTACCCTGCCTGGTACACCTTCAGGTGCGACCTGGCGGTTTACAGGTATGGTCAGCAGGGTGATGTGTATACTCAGGTGAAGGTGATGGACATGTTAGGTGAGTGAGGCCGCAGAGCTGAGGTGCCTCAGTGTTGGTACCGAGACACACACCTCGTGTCAACACTGAAGACAGTGACTTTGTCTCAGCTGGTGGCAGTCGGGCCAGTCACTGTTCACTGTACACACACCAGGAGCGGGATCATCCACGGATATGTTCCCTTGATACAGTTAGTATATTTCTGTCTCTCTCTCTCTCTCTCTCTCTCTCTCTCTCTCTCTCTCTCTCTCTCTCTCTCTCTCTCTCTCTCTCTCTCTCTCTCTCTCTCTCTCTCTCTCTCTCTCTCTCTCTCTCTCTCTCTCTCTCTCTCTCTCTCTCTCTCTCTCTCTCTCTCCCCCACACGCCGCTCCGTGGGCTCAGCCAGGGCCAGCCAAGTATCGTTTTATCCGCCTCTGGTAATATATTTCCTCCCTGGATGCAAAGCAGGAGTCCACCCCCACGGCAGCTGAACCGCTCCCTCCTGCCCTCCCCTACCCTTCCTTCCACCCCATCCCTCCCCCTACCCCTTCCCTCCACCCCATCCCTCCCCCTACCCCTTCCCTCCACACCATCCCTCCCCTACCCTTCCTTCCACACCATCCCTTCTCTCCCTCCCTCCCTACATTCCCTCTCGACATCACCCTTGGAAACTGAGTGTCGCGTCGCTAGGAACACATTCCAGCGACCATCGGGGAAGAGTATCACTACTCAACACTCTCTTCTTGCTAAGGAATAGATGACAAACTAAGAGTGTGCCATCCTCTTGATGATAAGCCCTGTACAGAGCCCGCTGGGTTGCAGAGCACTGTTCCCTCCGGTTTGTCACTACCTTTTGGGTTGTGAGTCATTCATAAGATGAAGGGATGTTGTGTTGCTGAGGTGAGAGTGATCTCACGGGTGCAGCAGCACGGGAACACTCCAGGTGGAGGAGCATCCTGACTCTCCATGTTGCCACACATGTGTGTATGCTCCGCACATATGTACCAGACATGTGTGTATGCTCCGCACATGTGTACCATACACATGTGTGTACGCTCCGCACATGTGTACCAGACACGTGTGTGTATGCTCCGCACATGTGTACCATACACATGTGTGTATGCTCCGCACATGTGTACCAGACACGTGTGTATATGCTCCGCACATGTGTACCATACACATGTGTGTATGCTCCGCACATGTGTACCAGACACGTGTGTGTATGCTCCGCACATGTGTACCATACACGTGTGTGTATGCTCCGCACATTTGTACCAGACACGTGTGTGTATGCTCCGCACATGTGTACCATACACATATGTGTATGCTCCGCACATGTGTACCAGACACGTGTGTGTATGCTCCGCACATGTGTACCATACACGTGTGTGTATGCTCCGCACATGTGTACCATACACGTGTGTGTATGCTCCGCACATGTGTACCATACACGTGTGTGTATGCTCCGCACATGTGTACCAGACACGTGTGTGTATGCTCCGCACATGTACACCAGATACATGTGTGTATGCACCACACATGTACACCAGTTATACAGACACCTGTCACAGACACCTGTCACAGACACCTGTCACAGACACCTGTCACAGACACCTGTCACAAACACCTGTCACAAACACCTGTCACAAACACCTGGGGCAGTGTACCAAGAGAGGCAACACAGGTCTCAAATGTTATATTAAACTTTAAACATTACGCTTCCTGCTTTGTGGTTTACATCAAGGTTTATAGTGGTTTATAGTCTACCTCTGGGACGCCGTGCACTGGTGAGGTAAACTCGTGGATTTGTGAGGTAAACCCTACAATTGAGGCAAACTCATGTAGTTGTGAGGTAAACTCGTGTACTGGTGGAGTAAACTCGTGCATTAACGAGGTAAACCGTACACTTGTGAGATAAACTCGTGTATTTGTGGGGTAAACTCGTACACCTGTGAGGTAAACTCATGCATTGGTGAGGTAAACCTGTATACTGATGAGGTAAACTCGTGCATTGGTGAGGTAACCCATACACGGGTGAGGTAAACCCGTGCACTAGTGAGCTAAACTCATGCATTGGTGATGTAAACCCGGTACACTGATGAGGTAAACCCGTGCATTGACGAGGTAAACTCGTACATTGTCGAGGTAAACTCGTACATTGTCGAGGTAAACCCGTACACTGGTGAGGTAAACCCGTACACTGGTGAGGTAAACCTGTACACTGGTGAGGTAAATCCGTATACTGGTGATGTAAACCCGCGCCTTATAAAGCAGCAGCGTGTTATTATAAATCATAACAGGAATTTGGGACCCATCACCGATCACTCACGAGGCGCCGCGCTCACCCGTCCTCACCTTGCCTTAGTTCTCTTGTCCATCCACTCTGTGTCCTCTCCTGCTGAGTGTCATCCACTCTGTGTCCTCTCCTGCTGAGTGTCATCCACTCTGTGTCCTCTCCTGCTGAGTGTCATCCACTCTATGTCCTCTCCTGCTGAGTGTCATCCACTCTATGTCCTCTCCTGCTGAGTGTCATCCACTCTATGTCCTCTCCTGCTGAGTGTCATCCACTCTATGTCCTCTCCTGCTGAGTGTCATCCACTCTATGTCCTCTCCTGCTGAGTGTCATCCACTCTATGTACTCTCCTGCTGAGTGTCATCCACTCTATGTACTCTCCTGCTGAGTGTCATCCACTCTATGTACTCTCCTGCTGAGTGTCATCCACTCTATGTACTCTCCTGCTGAGTGTCATCCACTCTGTGTCCTCTCCTGCTGAGTGTCATCCACTCTGTGTCCTCTCCTGCTGAGTGTCATCCCTCTATGTACTCTCCTGCTGAGTGTCATCCACTCTATGTATTCTCCAGCCTAGTGCCATCTCCTCCTCTTCCTCCTCCCAGGCACTCATGCTACACTCGGCCCACATAAGTCTTGCACTCGCGAGAACCATCCATCAGGGGCAGCCAGAACCCCCCTCCCTCCTTCCCCTCTGTACTCCTCTCTCAGGGGAGTCCTTGACAGGTGGTTGACAAGCGATCTATGGGACTTGGCTGCTCCGTATTGTGTGCGTCTGGGGAGCACACACGGCTCCTCCGCCCATAGATCAGTCGGTGTCGTATGGTCTATGGGGCCGGTGTTTACGTGGGAGCGGTTTGGGAGTTGTTATTAATAGCAAGTGCTGCTGTCATTGGTTCATTGGATGACCCCCTCCAACTCCCCGCCCTTCTTATGGACAGATTTGATGTTCGATGTTCAAAGAGGATCAGCTGATGACTTTTCATGCAGTCCGCAATGTTTACATTGCATCAGCTGATGACTTTTCATGCAGTCCGCAATGTTTACATTGCATCAGCTGATGACTCTTCACGCAGTCCGCAATGTTTACATTGGATCAGCTGATGACTCTTCACAGTCCGCAATGTTTACATTGGATCAGCTGATGACTCTTCACGCAGTCCGCAATGTTTACATTGGATCAGCTGATGACTCTTCACAGTCCGCAATGTTTACATTGGATCAGCTGATGACTCTTCACGCAGTCCGCAATGTTTACATTGGATCAGCTGATGACTCTTCACAGTCCGCAATGTTTACATTGGATCAGTTTCTACTACTACTACACACAGGAAGTTATTCGTTTATGAATTAAGAGAGAGTAGGAGGGAAGGACTAGGACTGAGGAAGGAAAGGTAGAGAGAGAGGAGGAAAGGAAGGAGTGGGAGGTAGGGAGACGGGAGGGGGGGGGGTAGAAGAGCCAATGGCTCACGTGGTGGGGAGGAGAATATATACTCCACTATAACGAGAGGACCAGGAGGGGGGGGGAAATGGAGTTAAGGAAGGTGTTTGTCCAGTAACGAAGAGAGGTCAGACGTGCAGAGGGCGACGTGCAGAGAATATACAGCCCAGCCTCCGCCACCACCACCACCACGGTCCATGTGTGCCGGTGAGCCGGGTCCAGGAGCTACGCCAAACACCACACCCTCCGCCGCAACATATGAAACTTATCACCGGTAAACAATATCGTGTCATTTTCCGTTGTGCACTGGAAGACTTGGGTGATATACCATGTCATGTTTCCCTATCTTCCACCTCTGAAATATTCTACCTGACGCCACTTTCTCTTTATGTATATTTTGTCGCGATCACCAAGCCTAATATTCATACTAATTATAAAGTTAATTTCTTTGTAATTTGTTTGTTATTTGCTTTTGTATATAATTTATTATTATTATTATTATTATTAAAATAATAATAATATTATTATTTATAACATATTACAGTTAATAGTATTTTTGTGTGTATATTATTAAGGGCGCGGTATAGCATGCAGGATTACGGACACAATACCAGAGGCGACAAATCACTTTCAAATCAGCTAAATCTAATTATACAAATTACTTTAAGTTAACGTATAAAAAAAAGTTGAAAAAACACTTAGAAATGTTGACTAAAACAGAAGAAATTAACTGTAATGATACGGAATATGGAACAGTTCCGGAGAGCATCGTAGAAAATGGGAAAATATGATAAAAATGGGAATAACAATGAAAATGGGGAACAACATATTAAAATGCCCAAAAATGTGACTTAAATATAAAAAATGGGAATAAACATTGAAAAGGTGAAGCAATGAGAATAAAAAAATCGAAATGGGACATATTAAAAATGGAGATAAATGGAAACAAAGAGACGAAAATTGAAAAACGAAATGAAAACTGGAATAGAAAGATGAGAATCACCGCAATAGAAGACAAACGTAAGTAAGAAATTGATATAAAGGCAACAAGGAAATAAATTATAGCATATGAGAATAATCACTGATATATAAACAAGGGGGAGCCTACCAGATAACACTGATATAAACAAGGGGGAGGAGCCTACCAGATAACACTGTGATATAAACAAGGGGGAGGAGCCTACCAGATAACACTGTGATATAAACAAGGGGGAGGAGCCTACCAGATGACACTGATATAAACAAGGGGGAGGAGCCTACCAGATGACACTGATATATAAACAAGGGGGAGGAGCCTACCAGATGACACTGATATATAAACAAGGGGGAGGAGCCTACCAGATGACACTGATATATAAACAAGGGGGAGGAGCCTACCAGATGACACTGATATATACACAGGGGGGAGGAGCCTACCAGATGACACTGATATATAAACAAGAGGGAGGAGCCTACCAGATGACACTGATATATAAACAGGGGGGAGGAGCCTACCAGATGACACTGATATATAAACAGGGGGGAGGAGCCTACCAGATGACACTGATATATACACAGGGGGGAGGAGCCTACCAGATGACACTGATATATAAACAAGGGGGAGGAGCCTACCAGATGACACTGATATATAAACAGGGGGGAGGAGCCTACCAGATGACACTGATATATAAACAAGGGGGAGGAGCCTACCAGATAACACTGTAATATAAACAAGGGGGCTAAATGGCTACCAGATAACACAGATTAAGCCAAGATGGGGGGAGGGGGAGGGGGGTAATAGAGCACGATATATAAGAGGGGGTGTTGTAGAGAACTAGTGGTATACAATAGGGGGTAAACAAGAGGGGGAGAGGTTGGAGGCTCACCGTCTGCGCCACCATCCAACCCAGAGCACCAGGCACCAGGGGCCGCCTTACCGGAGGGTCCCAGGGAGTAGTCGAGCACGTCTGGGGGAGAGACAAGCACAGTGCCAGGTCAGTAACGGCGGGGGGGGGGGGGGGGGTGCCAGGTTAGTAGCGTGGGGGGGGGGGGGTGCCAGGTTAGTAGTGGGGGGAGGGTGCCAGGTTAGTAGCGGGGGTTGGGAGGGTGCCAGGTTAGTAGCGGGGGTTGGGAGGGTGCCAGGTTAGTAGCGGGGGGGGCGGGAGGGTGCCAGGTTAGTAGCGGGGGGGGGCGGGAGGGTGCCAGGTTAGTAGCGGGGGGGGGGCGGGAGGGTGCCAGGTTAGTAGCGGGGGGGGGGCGGGAGGGTGCCAGGTTAGTAGCGGGGGGGGGGGGGGGAGGGTGCCAGGTTAGTAGCGGGGGGGGGCGGGAGGGTGCCAGGTTAGTAGCGGGGGGGGGGGGGCGGGAGGGTGCCAGGTTAGTAGTGGGGGGGCGGGAGGGTGCCAGGTTAGTAGCGGGGGGGGCGGGAGGGTGCCAGGTTAGTAGTGGGGGGGGCGGGAGGGTGCCAGGTTAGTAGTGGGGGGGCGGGAGGGTGCCAGGTTAGTAGCGGGGGGGGGCGGGAGGGTGCCAGGTTAGTAGTGGGGGGGGGCGGGAGGGTGCCAGGTTAGTAGTGGGGGGGGCGGGAGGGTGCCATGTTAGTAGCGGGGGGGGCGGGAGGGTGCCAGGTTAGTAGCGGGGGGGACAGGGTGCCAGGTTAGTAGCGGGGGGGGCGGGAGGGTGCCAGGTTAGTAGTGGGGGGGCGGGAGGGTGCCAGGTTAGTAGTGGGGGGGCGGGAGGGTGCCAGGTTAGTAGTGGGGGGGGCGGGAGGAGGGTGCCAGGTTAGTAGGGGGGTTCCAGGTCACTAATAGGGGGGGGGGGAGAGACACAAGGAGAGTAGAAAGAGTGTCAGGTTAATCTATCCAGATGGTCACTCTGCCCAGGTGGTCATTATTTCTGGATAAAGGGCTGGCGGTTAATAATTACCTGAGAGGCACAGGTAAAGGTGAAAGTTTGAAAATGGGAAATAGTGTACGATATTATAACAAGAGGCGGATATATATATATATATATATATATATATATATATATATATATATATATATATTATATATATATATATATATATATCGTACCTAGTAGCCAGAACTCACTTCTCAGCCTACTATGCAAGGCCCGATTTGCCTAATAAGCCAAGTTTTCCTAAATTAATATATTTTCTCTATTTTTTTTCTTATGAAATGATAAAGCTACCCATTTCATTATGTATGAGGTCAATTTTTTTTTATTTGAGTTAAAATTAACGTAGATATATGACCGAACCTAACCAACCCTACCTAACCTAACCTATCTTCATAGGTTAGGTTAGGTTAGGTAGCCGAAAAAGTTAGGTTAGGTTAGGTAGGTTAGGTTGTCGAAAAACAATTAATTCATGAAAACTTGGCTTATTAGGCAAATCGGGCCTTGCATAGTAGGCTGAGAAGTGAGTTCTGGCTACTAGGTACGACATATATATATATATATATATATATATATATATATATATATATATATATATATGCGAACAAGCCTGAATGGTCCCCAGGACAATATGCAACTGAAAACTCACACCCCAGAAGTGACTCGAACCCATACTCCCAGAAGCAACGCAACTGGTATGTACAAGACGCCTTAATCCACTTGACCATCACGACCGGACATAATGAGGTGATAGCCGAGGCTATTTGAACCACCCCACCGCCGGCACTCGGATAGTAATCTTGGGCATAGCATTTTACCAAATCACCTCATTCTTTGG